AGCTGTGGCATAACACTGCTTCAACGGCTCTGTTTGTTTTGCTGTAGCTGCACATTTGCTGACATGCTTTATTCAAAGCCATAATGTAATGTTAAAATGTACTCCTTTTAGTTACATACAAACTTGTGCGTGTATATAAGTCACACAGCTGCGAAAAAGGGGGAGGGGTTAGACATTGACAATAGGCTATCTTTGGAACAAAGGAAGTCAGAACTATCCACACAAGCTTCAGAAAACATAATGCTGCATTTAATGATAATAGGCATGAATTTAAAATACACATATTGTTGGGGTGTGGAATAATTTGGCAGAGCAATTGTAATCCAAATGCAAGAAAAGTTTATGCCTACAGTAAAAACTGGTACTGTGGGAAAATCAGCTGAGTTCTCATGGAGGTGGATCCAGAGGCTAATTTATGCTGCTGACATGTGCTGATTGTTCTGTAGGAAGGATTTGATGGGGTTCAGAGGTTGCAAGGGGAAGACAGGTAGATTGGGAGTTGTTAATAGCTTAAGAAGGCAAAGAAATTGTTGCAATGAGTGCAGAGAGAGGAGGAAGAAGGTAGCAAGAAGGGGATTTGTGCTGAGACAAGGTAATATGATTGGATTGGTTCCCAGGCACAATCCCTGCAATAAGGAAGGGGAGAAGGGGTCTACCCAAAGGTATTCTTGCCTCAATGTCGCTCTCTCAATTAATGAACTTCATGATTCATTCATGTATTTCATTTTTATACCACCCAATAGCTGAAGCTCTCTCATAATCTATCTCTTCTATAACAGTGGGTTGCAGGGGTGGAAATGGAACTATTTCCGAGGAAAGAAGAGACAGAGCATAAGCAGATATACTTACTTGGTAAGCATAAGGGGAACTCAGAGACTCCCCTTATTTGGCTGCAAATACATACTGAGTATTCTGCTTAATACGTTCCACATTCAGACACACATCTGATTTACACTCACATTTCCTAATCCAGAGAAAATGTGCATTCAATTCAGGATGCATGATTATAAGCTACATCTGATGCAAGAAGGTAGGCTTGTGGGCACTGTTTTTTATGTTCTGCATCACCCTTCCATTACTCTCCATTATGGAGTAAAGGAATCTCCAAAACCCTACAGGTTGTTAACTTGGGAATGTTTAGCTTTCACTCTGTTTCCCCTTATACCTCTCAAATCAGTATGCATTAATCAATCAAAAATTTGAGCATGCAGGAGATTATTCATTGAATATTTATTGAATGCATCTGAATTTAGGTTCCAATTAAGAACATTACCTGAAAATTAAAGGAAAAGGGATCAGAGAGCCATTATGGTATAGTGGTTTAGAGCACAGGATTGAGACTCACGAGATTGGGGTTCTAGTCCCCTCTCAGCCATGGAACTCACTTGGTTGACTTTGTGCCAGTCACAGACTCTTAGCCCAGCTTACCTCACAGGGTTCTTGTTATGAGGATAAGACTGAGAGGAGGTGGAGGAGAACTATGTAAGCTGTAAACAAATCAGAAAAATCAAGCAAGGTAGGAATGATAAAAGAAGCAGTATATAAAAAGCAATTATACAGTTAGGGCCCAAAATTAAATGTGAGAACCATGAGTTCCATAAGTACCTTCTGGAAGAGGAGACAACCCTGCCTTTATTGTGTGACGTGAACAGTGGGGTAACAACTTACTTTAGTGAAGGCAGCCTTCTAGTCAGCTTTGATGCTGTCTAATTCAACATATACAGGTTATCAGCCATAAATACATTTTCAACCGAGAATGTGGACTTTAAGAAAAAATAAGAGACTGCTTCTTTTTCCTTCTTGCTAGTCAAAACTTTGTTCATTTTGAGGTATGCTTACTATATCATAGCTTTGTTATTAAGGGATGGAAATAGTGGATCCAGGATTCTTAAAAAGTGTTTTGCCTTTTATATCTTATGGTATTTTCAGCATTACTTGCCCTATTACATTTGCATGCCATTTAAAACCAGGCTATTTATTTATCAGTTGTTAAGTGAAATATTTTTAACAACAGCTTTCTTTAATTATCAATATATATCCACCAACCACCCTAGTCACAAAATTAAATAGAAATATTTAATTATTATTAAAATAGTATTCTATTTTTTAAATTAGAGGTTTAAATGCATGATTTTTTAAAATTAGAGGTTTTGATCAATGCATGATTTTTTTTCTTTTCTCTTCTGGAAATGTTTCCCAAAAGCTCAAATGCATAGGATATACACACAAAGGATAGTCCATGAATTTAGCTAGAGGCAACTGCTCACATGTATTTCCTAGGGAATGTTGTTGTTTTAGCAGTTTCCCCTGCTCATTGGTTAACTGACATGTATCAAGTATTCTGCCTGCACCTTCTCTGAGAATAAGTGCATCTTGGATTCATGTGTGTAAGTAAAAATGTACTGAGAAGTTCCATGAACTAGGTATGAGCTTCAGTTTAAACATTTACAATTGAATATTTAATAGTAGTTCTCCAGCTTTATATTTGTATCCTCAATCTGTTATAGCTATTTTGTGTACAGAAGCAGGCTTTCATGTGAACATAATTAGCTGGAGAAAAAACATTGTACAATCCTGTGGCACAGTTCCATTCTTGAATCTACCAATCAAGTCTGTATGTAAAGAACCCTTTTAAAAAGCAAAAATACAAGCAATCAACTGGGATTCACTTCCTCACTAAATAACAGGATCTGATTTTTGTTAAAGGCTCCTCACATACAACCAGAAATGCTTTGTATACTCCACTGGAACAAATACAGGCATCCTTAATACATTCTATGCATTTCACAATATTTCTGCTAAAAAACCCCTTTTTGTTTCAGAATTATTTTCTAGAAAGGAGACTATTTCACTCTTGTGAAAATGATCTCACTATTGTTTAATAATGAATGATGTGTTTTCAATAACTTGACCATTCCTGTCATCTCCTTATAATACTTATTTTGAAGGTACCCATAGGTATGAGGGTTTAATATATTTCAGCAGAATCTCTCTCCCATGAAGGGCAACTATAGTACTTTTACTAAAGAATAAAATTTCATAAAATAGAACTGACAGCTCAAATCCTCCTAGATGTCAACTCCTAAGAATGAAAAGCACATTAACCACAGGGATCTTTACATTTTATCTTAAGTTTGTTCAGCTGAAACAATCATCATACACCAAAATTGGCTATGCCATTGGCCTTTGAAGAAGTTATGCAAGAAGGTTAACAAAACATATCGCAGTAGATACCTCCTTCTCCAAAACTAGTGCTTTAAAAAGCAAGTAATAGAAAAGAAGTATAAGAGAAAATCCACTTAAATTCTCAAGACATGGTGAGCGAAATAAAGTTTTTGAAGCTTCCCAAAATATTCCAAATGTCCAAACTCCATGTTAGCACAATTAGGAAGATAAAACTGTCAAGATCGTAGTCCCTGTATACATAGCTTTGGTGCCATTCCACTTAGAATATTATGTACAGTTCTGGTCACCACATCTGAAATTTGGAAACATCATAGATTTGGAAAAAGTGCAGAGAAGGGCAACTAAAATGATCAAGGATTGGAGCAACTTCCCAATGGGGGAAGGTCACAACAGCTGGAAATGTTTATCTTAAAAAAAGGTAAGGGGAGACATGACAGAGATGTTTGAAATTATATGTGGTGTGGAGAAAGTGCATAGAGAGAAAATTTTCTTCATGGGTAATCCCATGAAGTTGTTTGGTGGAAGATTCATATAACCCCAGTCCTCCACCAGCTTCACTGGCTTCCCATCGAAGTTTGGGCTCAATTCAAGGTGCTGGTTATTACCTATAAAGTCCTTAACAGCTTAGGACCTGGATACCTAAAGGAACGCCTTCTTCCGTATTTGCCCTCCCGCCCCCTGAGATCAGCAGCAGAGGCCTTCCTCCGGGAACCCTCCGTGAAAGACATTAGGAGGCAAAGGAGGGCTTTCTGGAGGAGGGCTTTCTCTGCGGTGGCGCCCCGCCTATGGAATGCGCTCCCCGAGAGGTCTGCCTGGCGCCATCGTTATTTGCTTTTCGGCACCAGGCCAAGACCTTTTTATTTCAACAATATTTTAATAACTTTTAACTTCAGTTTATAGGTTTTAATCTGCAGCCAGGATGGATCTGGATTTTATTTGTATTATGTTTTATGTTATTTTATGTAAGCCGTCCCAAGGCTATGTGATGGGATGGCATACAAATACTCTAAATAAATAAATAAATTCAGGACTACAAATTGCTACATGCTACCTCTACTGCCTTTGTAAACAAGTTAATGGGGAACGTGGGCATGAAGGGACTCTTGTACACATGTTCTGCTTGAGCAATCTTGTGGGTAGCTGCTTTGCCACATAGCACTAGACTAGACCAGGGGTCTCAAACTCAACTTGCGTGGGGGCCGCTGGAAGTAGAGTCTGGGTGAGGCTGGGCCGCATCAAGTATTCCACCACCGCGGTGGTGGTGGGCTGGTCATCCGGAGGCCGGCCCGGGTGCTGCCGGCGCTTTGAAGGCTGCAGAGCCCCTCCCCTGTGCCCTGCCCATCCTGGCAATTGGCTCACGGGCCGCGAGTTTGAGACCCCTGGACAAGACAGACCGTTGGTCTGAACCAGCATGGCTTTTGTTTTGTTTTTATGAGGAGTTTATTGTACAAATGAGCTTTAATATTTAATGATGCACATGAGAAAAAGCTTTCTCCACAAAAAGGGTCCTACAACTTTCAGCATTCTCCCCACTCCCAGCAGTGCTAGCTGGGGAATGCTGAGAGCTGTAGGGCTTTTTTCAATCTATACATATAAAGAAATGCACCTTAAAATTATTATTCCTTTGAAAAAAGTTATTTCCTTTCGTTCTTTTTATTTTATTTTCTCTTCATTAATATTTTGGTTGTGCTTTTATTCTGAAATGTACACACTTTCAAAATGAAATCTGAGATTTTTATAAAAATTCAAAGGTAATACCATTGCACAGAAGCATATTCTAGAAAATAAACTAAAATGACATTAGAGTTACTTACTGTAATTTCCCCACTCTTACGACCACAGGAATGTGGGGAAGTTGAGCTGCCCACTTTAGAGTCACATCTTGATATACATGTAGGATATTGTTGTGGTTCCCAATCAGTGTGTTTACTACAGTCCCAGACACTATAATATATATAAGTGTGTGCAAAGATGTTACAAGCCATTTTTCATTCATATTTTTAAGTTTAAGATTTCTTCCCTTCTGTGAGGCGTAAGATATCCATTACATCCACCCGCTTCAAATTTGTACTTATGAAATACATAAAAATATATATGCATAGATGCCTCAACAAGTATAACTGTTAGACCCAATAAGAGCAAAATTTATGAGAACACTAAAGAGAATATTAGTGCTGCACAAGCTAAAAGCAAATATTAGATACGGCTGCAACTATGTAAGCTAAGTTTAGACAAATAAAACATGGTAGAATTTTTGCAGACAAAATAAATTTTATTGATTTATTTAGCAGACTAAGGGCACAATTCTATGGCAATCAGATGCTGACTAGCAGACATAGGAAAGGTTGAAGTTTCAGCTCTAACTGTGGAAATCCATTCCAAGGTCAGACCCTCCCTCTGCCCTCATGACTGCTGTGGGTCTTTCTGTAACAGCTGCATCCCAAAGGTCACAGGAGTGACCTTGGATCTGGCATTTGGGGTGGGGGGGGGCATTCTAGAAGATGGAGAAAAGTAAGGCTGCTGTGAGATACAATGCGTCCTGGAAGTGCCTCAGCTTCTCCCCTTCATCCTGTGGAATGTCCCTCCCCCACTCAATGCAGCTCCAGTTTGATTGTATGACTTTCAACACAGCAGACAGAGGGCAAAATTGTCCATCTAAGATTTTTGGAGTGTGAGAGGAGCATTAAGGCAATTCTCACCTCTGTTCTCTAATCTTCTGAATTGTGAGGGATATGAGCAGCCACACTGAATGTTGGCCTGATATCCAAAATGGTAAAAATAAATTAAATATTATGTAAAAACAACAAGATCTAATTTCACAGAACCCCACACAACTAAACCTAGCTTAAATAAAAGATGCTAAATTCCTCATACTTAACAATCCACCTGGCCATCATAAGGAACCAGGAATTCAATGCAAGTAAGCATGTGGTCTGGTAGAGAAGATACAGATAGACTGGTCCATCCTTCAACCACCACCCAAAGCAGTTTGGTTTCCATGATGGCTGAAGAGGAAGGCAAAACAATCTTACAATTAAAACTGAAATAGGACCAGTACAGTGACATAGTCAAAGAAACCCACCTCAGTTACGAGTTTCTGATTAAATTGTCTCAACTATCCTATGCTGTCACTGAACTTCTGCTGTTTCTTTTATACCAGCAGAAGTATACACTTGTAAAGCAGTGCATTTTGAAAAATAAAGCCCTCTGTTACAGAAATTGTTACTTAAAGTGGCAACATTTACTCTATACTGCACTACTTCTCCAACAGTTACAGCCACGCATTGCATTTGCCAAAATATCACCTGGGTTCTAATTATTCAATTCAAAACCAGTATGAAGATGTAGATAATAAATATAATGTCCATAACTATTTTGATACATCCTCAAATCTTGAAAACTTGAGGGTTCAAAGTGAAGTATCAGGCAGTATTCAAACAATAAGTTTTTACAAATAACTAGTTTTGGTTGAGATGTTAAAACTTGTCAGTTTTAAAAAACCATTTAAAATAGTTTCTCCCAAGTTACCGTTTTTGTTTACGAACCTGAATATGGAAGAAAGCAACTTGGGCTGCAGTCAAGCTTTTTTATGAATCGAATTTGCCCATTATCCTTAAGGCAAAAGAAGTTTCTCTCCCCAAGCACAAACACACTGGAAACAAGTTGATTGAATGAAACAACACATATATCCAGAGCTTGTTCCCCAATATTTAAAACCCAGTCCACCTTAAGAAAACAGACAAAATCAGTGCACATCAGATTGAAATGTACTTTAGAAAACACAAGCAAAAAAAAGTATCACATAGATGGGCCCAAAAATATGTGTACTTTTCTTAATGCTACAGAATATTTTATTATTAAAAGGGAGTAGTTTCACGAAACAACAAAATATGCATTTCCTATTATTAGGCTGAATGCAGACTAAATTAGTTGAACTTGAGTCCCACAGATACCAAAGGGACAAGTTAGTAATGACCTAGTTATTACTGGTTTCTATAGGAACTAAGTGTAACTCTGTTTCCAAATCAGTGACCACTGCTATAATAAATGCTATATAATTGAACAGAAACAAAAAGTGAGAAGTCTAACATAGGATGCTAATCTGTAGTTCTCACATTAGATTTCTGCATCTTAACCATTAGATGCCAGCTTATCTTGGGGCTTCTTCTTATTTTTCGTTGTCTTATTGGTTACTATCCAGTTTCCATTAGTAAAACCTGACTTCAATAAGGTCAATTCTATCATCATAATGACAATTGCTGAGAGCAGAATAGTATGACTTCAATTCATACCAAAATATATTTTCAAAAAAGATGTAATTGCACCAGTACAGGTGAATTGACAGGAGGCCTTTACTTACCTTTCTGAAAGCAACTGCATTCAGAATTTCAATGAAAGCCACTCCATATGTTAGCTTGTGTTTAAAAACATATCTGCTTTCTTTGCTCTATATGGAGCAGAACAGTACTTTTTAGGAAAACCAAACACAAGTTCCACTGCTGAATGTGGGACTGTGACTATGGAAGTCTGCTTGCTGCACAGTTCTATGGATGTCTATTCAAATCGAAGTCCTATTAAGGTCAGCAGGACTTACTCCCTGGAAACTTTAAGACTGCAGCCTAAGAAAGCTAAATATTTTATATTCTGTATCAATGCTGATTATCCATACAACAAGCAAACTTACCACAAGCCTTTTTCCAGAGCCAAGTTTTTGCTGCTCAGCTTCTTGCATGTCAGCATCTTTTGCAAATGCAAGCACTTGGTACCTATTGTAAAAATAGAATATCTTAAGTTACTGAATATTTTCTCTTGGGGAAAATGTATGTCAGAATACATGGAGAAAAACAACTTGAAAATGTTTTCAGGAATCCAAACTTTATTATTCCATAATGAGAATAATATTACATTATGAGAATAATATTTGTCTGCATTTGCAAGTTCAACTTTTAACAAGGGATAACAATTGCATTTTTGGGGTACCTCTTATAATTATAATACCTATTGTTATTTTTCCATATGTGAAGATGATTTCCTCGGAAAGTAATAGCAAACTGCTTATTTACTACTGGTAAAGCAAAAGAGGAAATCAGACATTATGATTTACTTCTTTTTCCACCAAGTTACTATGTACAAAACCTGTCACATTTAAAGTGTCTTTGAGAGATTCAGAGACAGAGGAGAGAAAATGTGGTAGCACAATATTTATGTGCTCAGTGCTGTTGCTTGAATATCTGGCTGTAACCACTGATAGAAATGAAATGCTTAGCTGGGTAGACCATTCATCAAGTCATACAGTGATGTTCATTTCATTTGAATTCTCCTTAAAACCTGTTTTTATTTGATGTCAGAAAATGGTAAAGAGTGATGGATACAAAATAATATGTTACACATTTTACATCAATACGCACTTGTAGCTCTCGACCTGCTGACAGGAAGAGACAGTAATGAAGGAATCTGTTCGAGAGCTATATGTCAGTGGACCAGGCAGAAGAAAACCAGGCAGAAAACGGCCAAATGAATAGCTTTCTTGTTCAAACAACATAAGCATTCCATCCACAGACTGTATACAGATCAAATCTCGACCTAAATTTTAAAAAAACAAAGCAGATGCATAAGTTTTTCAATTTTGCATAAAAACCCTAAAATATTAATGAAACCGTGTAAGCCTATATATGCATATGCACATACAGTTTGCTTGTGTTTTTTAAACACACCCAGTGGAATGTCTTAAACATGCTTTATTAAGTATTACATAGAGTATGACCAAGGAATGCCTAAATATTTGCTTTATTTACCAGATTGTTTGGATAAATAAGGAGACAAATGAACATCCTGGGGCAGAATGTTCCACATTCCAAATGAACAACAGAAAACATTCTCTTGCATGCCTCTTCTTACGCTCTATCCTTGATTTACAATGATGGAGACTTAAGCTGAGCAACTTGCTCCCAAGTCCGACTCGACTTGACTTGGGAGCAATGAGTGACCAACTCAGCTTGAGATTTCTACATCTTTTATGGCCAAGTCTCTCCAAGACTTACCATGTGTGTGTGGGGGTGGGGGTTTCCTACATTTTTAATGCCTGAGTCTTTCTAGGGCTTACCATGTGCGGGGGATATCCTGGAAGGCAGGCATGAGCAAAGGAGAGTCAGTGGGAGGGAGGGAGCTTTAAGGGGGTAGGGGCAGGACAGGGAGGAGGGGGTTGTGATAGGGAGAAACCAAGGCTTCAGCTATGCTTTTTGGCACAAGGGAGGTGGTGGGAGGAAGGAAGTTTCAAGGGAGCAGGGGCAGGACAAGTTTTTTATTTGTTTGTTTAAATAAATCGTGGTTGAAGTAAAGGACTTCAATGCATCACTAAAGAAGTGCAGATGGGAACATCAGGGAGGATTACAACTCTCCCACCTTCCATACTCACACCCCACCACCACCTCCCTTTTTTCTATTAAAGTTGGCTCTTGAGACTTGCAAAGAGACTTGAGACTTGACTTCAAAATTTCTTGCAATGACTTGAGACTCAATTTGGACTTGAAAGTAATGACTTGAACACATCACTGTTGATTTATGGCCTCTCTCTAGAACCTTGCTAAGAGCCTTTTTCCCAATAGTAGAACAAAGGTTATTTCAAGTGATTCAGTATTCTATGCAGAAACATGACATCTGTAGTAAAATCCCCCATGGATAACAATTCTGAGTGTGCACACAATGGATTGCTTGCTTGCTTTCTATCAGTTTATCTCACATGCCTTAAAATGTACCCTTTTATTTATTTTCTTTATTGCTACCTCAATCATCCAATCTACTTGGACAGTACAATCTAATCACAAGTTTGCTGACAGCCAGTAAATTACACTATATTACACACTATATATGTGCATTACACTTCTTTACACAGAAAAACAGGAAATCACGGGAGAAACAAAGTAGACAGAGGCAAATTGAGGCGGAGTTATATAAGGACAGAGTGAAAGATTCATTCAGCAGAATGTGCCTAGGCTTACTTACAGACTTAACTGAAGTAGGGGTTGTGCAAATTGCTTCATGGAAAAGAAGAAATTTGAGGAAGCTTCAGGCAGCTTGTGTTAGGCAAACAGTGGTGGATAGTGGTGGGAAGTAAAGCAACAGGAGTGAAGATCACAGTCTGGGTTATAAAAGTGGAAAGAAGGGCAAGGACATGGAGAACTTTGAAGATTACAACAAAAAGTGTGTGCTGGATCCAGGAGGATCAGAGCAGTGAGAAATGCAAGGTTTTGACAACAGAATTCTAAGTTTAGCGACCAAGGTGAAACAATGGAAGATTTGAAAGGAAGTGAAAGCAGTTGTCCAACCAAGAAGTGACTAGGGCACAAATTAACATTTTTTGCTGAGCAAGCAAAGAGAGAAAGATACTTTTTAAACACTGCAAATGAAAAGATGACAGAACTTGGTGATGGGCTGAATATGGAGTAGAAGAAAGAGGTGTCAAGAAAATGCCAAGGTATATGTTTGTGCAGCTAGGTGAGAGGCAACACTGTGATTATTAAAGCTGCAAGAGAATTGTGCTGGACCTTTTGTGTGTGAGTCAACAATGAAGCACCAGAGTGAAAAAGAACAGAAGGGCACCTGAAGAGTTAGAATTACAGAGGAGGGAATCTTCTGAACCCTAGGATTCAGACATAGAGATCAGCATATACACAGTACTGAAAACCATGGGATCTGATAAGGACAAAATATCACAAAAGATGAGAGAACTCATAACAGACCTTTGAAAAACCCTAACAAAGAAGTGGAAAGCAGAGGACATGGTTTAATGGGGAAGTGACTTTTTTCATTTCCTCTAGTTCCCTTCCATTTACAAGAGCTGAGCAGCACTGCCGAGGACAAGATATTTGGAGGCTATACAAGGTTGTAATGAGTCAGGGACAACATAATGGCATGTAACACAGTACCCCTCTGTGAAATGGGTGTTTTCTGGCAATGATAAATGTTATGACTAATTATGCACCCATGTTAGTTATTTTGCAACAATAGCTACAACAGTTGCTAATCATTTGAAATGTTTCCATGGGCCCCAAAATATTATGGTTTCCTTTTCCAAGTTTGGAAACAAACAGCAGTAGGAAGATAGGGCAGGAGAGGGAAGAAGGGTCAAGTCCTCCATGTGTGGAGGGCACTGAAATGCCTAGTATACTCCACCTCCTTGTGTGATCTCCATAGATTAGTAATACCTCAATAGAGCTACTAACATGCCTGAAATTGGTTTATCAATGTGGTTGATAAACAGCATATAATCAAGCGTATCACTGGCAAACAAAGATAGAAGAATGGAAGAAAAAAGGTAATTTATGTATACTGCTTGTATCATTATCATATTACATTACATTACATTTATACCCTGCCTTTCTTCCTCTTGCAAGGAACTCAAGGTGGCTTACAAGGTTCTCCTAATCTTTCTTATCCTCAACAACAATCCTTTAAGGGAGGTTAGGTTGAAAGTCTGATTCTCCCAAAGCCACCCAATGAGCTTTATGGCTAAGTCTGAACTAGAACCCAGATTTCCCAGGTCCCCAGTTCAACACTTTAACCAAGTGTTTTACATTCTAAAATATTAAAAAGTGCTATTGAAATACTAAATAAAAATTAATCATACAACAAAATAAGTAACAGAGCCAAATCAAATCAAGCAGTATTATTTCAATTAGAAGACACAGAAGTGTATAATCCTAGAGATGCTTGCTTGGACACAAGCTTCACTGTGTTTAAAGGGGCTTACTCCAGGTTAGTTTGCACAAAATTGAAGCCGAAATTGTTTGAAAAATACATTACATATACTTCATTTCGAGATTTCTGAAAGAGCTGTATTTATGCATTTAATTTCAAGGGTCCTCATGAATTAATATTTTTCTGTTTCTATTAATATTTAATAGAAAAATCATATCCTAACTAAAATGTGTAACTAAATCTTAACTAAAATCCAGGGGATGGTGGAGGACAGGAGAAGCTGGAGGAATGTTATGCATGGGATCGCAACGAGTCAGGCATGGCTTTGCAAATTAAGAACAACAACAAAAATCTGTGCAGGTAGTATTGATGTAGTAAGGAACAAGATAGACTTTTAAGCAAACCAATTGCAACAAATATATCAAACCTTTATTGAAAGAAAAAAAACCTTTTTATTAAATATAAGGGACTTTATCTCAAGGTGTAAGAGCTTTCTATTCTCTTTCTCACTTTTGATCAGAAACACATTTACATTATAACATGAGCTTTAATAAAAAGGGCTAGCACTTTGTGTTAACAAAATCATAAATCAGCATATTAAAAAGTATTTCCATCACGTTTTAAAAGAATCCTGTTTCCTTTATTAAACATGAAATAGAATGAAACAGCACATTAATCATGACATCTAAAGGAACGGAGCTAACCAATGAACATTAATCTTTTCATATATTAGAAAAGGTACATATCACTTGCACTTTACAAAAAGCAAAAATGAAGTCATAGAAGTATATAGCCCAAAAACTGTCATATGATACAACCATTTTACAAAATAAAATAAGAAATAATTTTTCCCTACAACTGTTAGTGATAAAAACCAAACATAACATATTAGATTCTACTTCTTTAAGCCCTTGGCTATAAGTTTCACTTACAACTTAAATCTGATTATTTGTTCCTATCACAATATATTTAATTCATGAGAGTTTGAAGTTTGCTTCAGATTTCCAAGTGATGGTAATTTTGAAATGTTCCTGTTCCTTTCAAAGTAAAACTCATCCATCTTTGTAGGAAATGTAAACTCTTCATAGTTTAAGTCAGTGAGCAAATGCTTCCCGTTACTAAATTCAATAATTTTAACAGAATTATAGGTTTAACAAGTAGGACTCTTAAAGCATTTTTAAACAGCCCAATTGTTTTAGAGTTATGACTTTCCTTAGTTTCCTACAATGAGACACATGTTTTTTGAATTACCGAACAGGATATATGGCTTCTGTTCAATCTAGATTTTATTGTTTATAAGATCAGAAACAATTTGTGCATGCACATACACATACGCACAGAGACATATGTGTGTTTATAGATATATGCATGCACCTCTAGGTAGCCAGTTGTTGAAATACTTGTTCAAATTCTTATCTAGTCAAAAAGATTAAACAATAAACTCTTTGATTCATAATAGTTCCCCTGACATTCTGAGATTTAGGAAACTCAACTAGGTAAATATGTTAAACAGATCAACAATAATGGTTAAAATGAACATTTGGTGAATTGCTTAAAGTGCCAGATACTCATAAGAATCAAGATCACCTGAAACAATGCCAGTTACATACTTATACTCAGAAATTAACCCATAGAAGAATAAACAGAAGAGAGTAATATTTCAATACACAAAATGAATGACCATAAACAAAACAAAAAAAGATTCTAAGATGTAACAATCCACCACTCTATCTGAACTAAATTAACAAAAATCTCAAGTTACGTAACAGTTGACATAAATATTGTTCAGAAAGACGGCGGGGGGCAAATGTATAACCTAGGTAAATGCCTGCCTTTCTATTCCACTTCTGCCAGTTTCACAATAATTATACAATGTTTAAAAAATT